GTCAGGTCAGCATACCCGCCAGACCAGCATACCCATAGTTTTACACTTGGGGAAGCCGTCAGATCGCCATACCTTTCGAAAAACACCAAATCCGAATACCTGTACATACATTTTGAAATGGCAAATTAATCTTATCAAAGTGTATGCTGACGGGCTGATCTGACGGACTAAGTATGCTGATCTGACGGGCTAGGTATGCTGATCTGACGGGCTACATATGCTGATCTGACGGGCTAGGTATGCTGATCTGACGGGCTAGGTATGCTGATCTGACGGGCTACATATGCTGATCTGACGGGCTAGGTATGCTGATCTGACGGACTAAGTATGCTGATCTGACGGGCTAGGTGTGCTGATCTGATCAGATGTCATACCTAGCCCGTCAGATCCTCATACTTAGCCCTCGGTACTAAATTCTGTTTACCTCCGACTAAAACGTTTCGATTATTACATCACCCATAAATAAACAAAAGTACTTGACTTTCGGTGTGGTTTTTCTGGTAAGTTTGTGTGTTTACCTTCAACTACAACCTTTTGACGGAGTATGCTAATGCTAATCTGACACCTATACTGTCAGACTATATCTTACCCCGTACGAAAATCTGACGTCATGCGCATGCGTTTTGACTATGGGTATGCTGGTCTGACGGGGTATGCTGGTCTGACAGAACACCAGGTCGGAAACCCGACTCATTTTTTAGTTGTTTTTTACGGGCAGAGGCTCACCTCCAGGATGAAGAACATGGTCCCGGTGACGGCGAAGGGCAGGATGTAGAAGGGGTCGGCCGCCGAGAGGTCGGTGAACCACAGCGCCCCCCCCGTCTGCAAGCTAGGCACGGGGAGGTACGCCATCTTCCTCAGGGCGATGAAGAAGGAGATGAAGACGGGCGCCTGCATGGGGAGCAAACAAACATCAGGGACGGTACCACTTTTTTACACATTTAAAAAGCACCTTAAACTGTTTCTCAAAAGTTCCCAGTCATGCAATCACTCATTTTAATTTTGTAGTGTCGTTATCTGAACGTGTGTCTCTCTGTTTTAACTGATATTGTATTATGTGATTTTGTGTTGTTTTGTCTTCCTCCCTCAGGACGACAGATGCGAATTAGCAACTATGTTAGAATCTGTCTCATTTACAATCTGTATGAGATTGTTCATTAATGTGCACTGTCCTGATTAGATAAATAAATAAATAAACATTCACAGGAGCTGGAGCAGGATACGGAAAAGGCCTTTAAATCCAACTGTTCGGGGCTCCTTTGTGAACCAAAGACAGCAGGAAAGGATCCACAGGCTGTTTTTACAGTGTTTAGGGTCAAAGGTCAATGGTTTTTCTTACAAATAAAAACTCTAAACTGAGCTTCAGGGCCAAAGAATGTTCATGTGGCCTTTTTTTAAAAAGCATTTCTAATGTTTATAACTAGAATAATTCATAATAATTACATACAGAAATTATATTTCTGAAGATTTATAACACATCTAATAGTCTATTTGTGCTGTAAGCTCTCAGTGACCCCATCATGCATCTAACAGCCCTGATGTTGGTGTTTAAAAGGAAAAGAACAAAGGAAACAGATTAGCACAATAAGCGGTGTTTTCCTGGCTGTAACCGGAAACATGGTGTCAGCATTTGGATTTGCATGCTCTGAGCTCCCAGAAAGTTCAACTTAGGAAGTTTTGTTCTGATCTAACTGGGTCGGGTGAAGATGGAGGGCTTGGAGGGGAAGATGGAAGGTTAACGGTTCCTAAAACAGATCCTAAACCGACACAGGCAAGGAAGTTTTTCCTTGCCTGTGTCGCCTAGTGCTTGCTCATGGTCGGAATTGTTGGGTTTCTGTAATTAACTTCAGAGTAGGGTCTGACTTGCTCTGTTTGGAAAGCGCTGTGAGACGACTGTTGTTGTGAAGTGGCGCTATATAAATAAAATTGAATTTAATTGAATTAAACCGACCTGCACCAGAGGGACCAGGAAGCCACGCAGAGGGTTCACGTCGTGCTTCTTCTGGAACAGGTTCAGGTCGGAGTACGCCTTGGCGACTGTAGGAGAAGCAGAGGCGGCTGCCGGTGAGCAGCGGCCAGAGGACAGAAGAGGAAGAGGAGGAGGAGGAGGAGCTCACATTCAAACTTGTTCCCGCTCTGCTTGGCGTCGTTCATCCTGTTGGTGAGCTTGGTGATCTGGGGAAGCACGTTGTTGAGCTTGGCCGCCTCCCTCTGCCCCTTCACTATGACGGGAAACACGGCCAGGCGGGCCAGAACCGTTCCTGATCAGAGGGAAAAAAAACCACTCAGTTAGTGGAGACAGGAAGAGATAAACGGAAGCTCAGAAAGAGGAGTAGAGGGTCCAGAAACTAAGTCACAGACTGATGTTCGACTTTTCTCCACAAGATTGAAAAAAAATGGCTCAAAGACAATCAAGAGTGTGAGCACTAAACTGGCTTGTACTGTACTTTTTTTGTTTGTTTTAACTTCTTTTGTTTCTTATGCATCTGTGTGTCATTGCTAACCTCCCTCCCCCTTAATGCTAACACCTTTTAAAAGCCTAACCAGGCACAAAGGCTGCAAATTACCCCATGGCAACAAGCCTTATGTACTTGGACATCGGCCATCTGTTTGGTTGCACTGTTAAATTGTACTGTCCATGTCAAATAAACAAATAAATAAAAATAAAAAATAAATAAGGCTGTCACGATACTAAAAATGTTCAACTCGATACCGATACTCAGGAAAATATTTGATACTCGATACCATTTTTTCAATACTACAAGGATAAAAACAAAGACCCCCAAATTTAACTGAATTTGGACAGGTTAGTGTCTTTGGTTTCAAACTGACCTGTTACTGATGTTATGGTGGCCCGCATTAATGTTAGCGTGTTATTATTAGCCATTAGCCACAGCTAGCAATTCAAGACTAACGTCACATTAATGATCATAAACAACGTAAATAAATAGATAGACTTCTATCTTCAACTGAGTTGGGAAAAACTGCCTTCTCCTACTCTGCACCTTGGGGTTGGAATAACCTCCAGAAAGAGCTCAAACTAAAAACTGTAGTGTCCATTAATGAATTTAAAGCAACCATGAAGAGTGTAGTGATGGAGATATGCGCTTGTCTTTCTTGAGATCCTCAATATTGCTCTGATTTTATTATGTAAAACGTAATATGTATGATTTTTTTTGTGGTTTGGCTGCTACCTTGGCCAGGTCTCTCTTGAAAAAGAGATTCTGAATCTCAATGAGACTTCCTGGTTAAATAAAGGTTAAATAAATAAATAAAATAAAGATAGATAGATA